TTAATAGGTAAGGTACATAATCACTGGAGAATCAACAGCTAGGAGGGCCACCATGATGCCCCTGGGCAACAAAACAACAAACTTGATAAACGTAAGTGATCTAGACTGAAGAAGAGTCTAAACTAGGATCTCAGATGGACATATCGAATTTCATTAAAGGTTTTACAATTTAAACATTTCCTTTGGCCCAACTATCTACTTTGCTCTGATTTAGTGAAATTTTGTTAGTTAAGCAGAAATCAGGCTACGGTATGAATAAGGAGGCATTCTTCTAGAATCAATTAACTTCAGGAATAAGAGAGCAAAGGTCAAGTGACACTTCCAAACTTTCCTTGAGAAGTGGACTAAATCAGGTGAATTACAAGAACATCACTCTATATCATAAGTCATGAAAACAATTGTTTACTAGGAGGAGGATGTCTTGCCAGTTAACTAGGTAATAATGTATACATATATGGGGGCAATTCACACACATTCTTATTTTATGTAATCTCACCAGCCCTCAAGCTATAGTGGATATTATAAAAGAATTATAGATGAGGTCAGGGGATCTGTCCAAGGTCATATGAAGGGTAAGTAAGAAGCACATATGACAAACAAATCCACCTCCTTTTCACCTCAGTTGCTTACTGACATACTCTACAACAAGAGGCTTGTTGACAAAATGTCACACCAATCAATTTTGCTGTTGCAAATTGCCCTAGGAACTGCTAATCTCTGCTGCAAACTAGCCACTCCAGAGATCTGAAAGTTTGTCAAAATGACTAAGATTGTGTGTTAGACCCTGCACCAACAGAAATGACACAAGGAAATGAAGCATACAAATATACCCATTGATATACATATTTAATACTGACAACTAAACCAGAAGAAAATACTAAAAGTTATACTTCACAAATATAAAGAAATTATCACTCGATTTAATCCAACTTCAATTCAGTGCTGGCCAAATGACAATTTTAAGTGAACCAATTAAGTTCAGATGATTCTAATATTCATGGGAACTGGGGCTTTTCAAGAGGACTAAGAAAAAAGGTCAAAATGCAAACAGATAGATGTAAAGTACACTTGGGCCCCATGATGGTTAATTTTATGTATCAACTGGACTGGGCCACAGGATGCCTATATATTTAGTTAAACACTATTCTGGAAACCCAGAATAACATCTGTAATGGTGCTTCTGGATGAGATAAACATTTGAATCTATAGAGTAAGTAAAGCACATTGCCCTGTCCAATGTGGGTGGATCTTATCCAATCCATTGGAGACCTGAATAGAACAAAAAAGGCTGAGTAAGGATTTGCTCTCTTTGCCTGTCTTCAAGCTGGGACAATGTCTTCGGACAGAAACTGGAACTACACCATCCCTCTCCTGGGCTGCCAACTTGTCAACTGCAGATCCTGGACTTCTCAGCCTCTATTACAATTTATATATA